AGTCACCGGATAGATGTTCTCTCTGACTTTTAGAAAACATGGAGTGGTTCCTTTGGCAACATATATGCGAATCTACAAGAAAGGTGTGATATTGTAGGCGTTAAGGGAAAGGATACTGTTCAAAAAGAAATGTTCCACAAATGTTACCATGGCAAAACTGGAAGAGTCTACAATGTTACCCAGCATGCTGTTGGCATTGTTGTGAACAGACAAGTTAAGGGCAAGATTCTTGCCAAGAAAATTAATGTGCATATTGAGCATATTAAGCATTCTAAGAGTAGAGATAGCTTCCTAAAATGTGTGAAGGAAAATGACCAGAAAAAGAAAGAAGCCAAAGAAAAAGGTACCTGGGTTCAACTAAAGCGCCAGCCTGCTCCACCCAGAGACACACACTTTCTGAGAACCAATGGAAAGGAGCCTGAGCTACTGGAACTTGAATTCATGGCATGATGAATGTTAAAATAAACTAATCGGTGCTCTATTTAAAAAAAAATAGTTCTTTTCCCTGTGAAAAGTTTATCGGCTGTTGAGATAAAAATCACCATATTTCGGATGCTTAATTATTTCATAACAGGATTTTGAGTAGAACCTACTTGCTAGGAATAGATGTTCTGTATGGGTGTATTATAGTAGCTAGAAATTGTTACTATAAATCTGTATGGTGAGGTAGAAAGTTTTTTTTTTTTTTTTTTTTTTTTTTTTTTTTTTTTGGGAGGTTTTTGCTGTAGGACTTGTGTGCTTCCCGGAAAGACAGAGAGAGAGAGAGACAAAGTGAGAAATCACCCCCCAGGGAGGTTGGCCATGCTGCAATCCCTTTCCTCAGGATCTTGGGCATGTACGCACAGGCGCCCGGCGTGAGTTTAAGCCACCGGGTCCAGGACTCGAACCACAGTTGGCTACATGGGAGTCCAGCAACATATACATTACACTGTTGGTCCCTATGCTTGATATTTTATTATGGAAATTATAACTTATAACTCAGAGCTAGTGTGTCAAAAGAGGGGATGATTCCTCATTTTTCATAGGTTAAGATTAACTGTAGTTACTGTCTTGCTAACCATATTGAGCATTTGGTAAAGATCATTTTATATAATAGTGTTTTGTATTGATACATATTTCTTTGAGGAAAGAAAAGAGTACTAATAGTCAAAAATACAGTTGAGATTTCTGGAGTAGCTTGTAGTAGGCAGCTAGCAAATGCTTAAACTATATAGATCTTGGTGGTTTGGATGGGTGAAATTTCTAACTTCAGCATTCTGTGATGAGTCTGGTTGAATTTAAAGCATTTTGAAATAATTTCCTATCTGCTTTTTCTTTTTTCAGTTGGACTAAATGATCTTCCTTGAATGGATTGTCCAAGATATAAACCCAGTGAAAGAAATCATGCTGGCTATTTGTATATAAAATAAAATAAAATAAAACCCTTCGATTTTATAAGCGTCTTAATGTGACTAGATTATTTGGTTATAGATCTCTCTTTTTAGGACTTATTTTTATTGTCTTCTCAAGGGATTTGTTATTAAATATGTGGCATACCTTTCCTCAATTATATAGCAATATTCATGCAGGACTCTGATTAATGTCAGTTTTGTTTTTATACTTGGGAAGCGTGTGTTTAATTTCATGAAATGCCTGCTAAAGGGGGCCAAATGGTGACAAAGTGCAAGACTTGAATCTCTACAAGGCAGACATGTAATCCACGGTGGCTGAGGCTGGGGATGGATCACGGCATCAACATCTTGTCCAATCCCTTGTTCTTTGTCCCTCTCACTTGTGGAAAAAAGCTTTAAAATGCCTATTTGCAGGGGTCAGCAGGTGGCATAGTGGTTAGGGCACTGAACTCCCACATGGTTAACTGGTTCAAATCCCAGACCTGGTGGCTTGCTTTCTCACTTTTCTCTGTCTCTTGTGAGTGCATGTGCTCTATAGCAAATAATTTAAAAGCCTGTTACATACAGGAGCATCCAGAATATAAGCTTTTTCAAATAGTCTTGTGAGTAGTTGACTTTTTACACTTGAGCTGGGACAATAAAAGTGAAAAGAGTTTCAGGACAGGGACCAGCAGTTAGTGTAATGGCTATGTCGCTGGGCTCCCACATAGTCGACCGTGGTTTGAGTTGCGTGTGCGTGAGTGCCCAAGATCCCGAGAAGAGAATGGAGAAGGGATTGCGGCGTGGCCATCTCCCCTCGGGGGTGATTTCTCACTGTCTGTCTCGTCTGTCTGGCAAGCGCACGCGCCCTATAGCAAAATCCTCAAAAAAAAAAAGTTTCAGGACAGAAGCTATCACTAAAATCTGTTCTGGGCTATCTTCTGTTTGGGACATTTCACAGATGAAAGCTTGTAAAATTTTAGTGTGTGGAAGGAAATAATTGGATAATATGTACGTCGGCAAATGTGTATTTGGTGAGTAAAGCAGTAATTTTGAAGTGTTTTGAAGGGCAAGAGGGGGTACCATTTTGTAGGATCACATGGTCTTGAAAGCCATTTGTTTTAGCAGGTGATATTGTTAAGGTGCTGGATTCCCATGTGACTGACCACTGTTAAAGTCAGACCTGGCCACTTGAAAATCACAAATAAGTAGACTAATCTTTAAGGGAAAAAAAGCCATTTGTTGGCTCATTAGAAATACAGGCTGTGGGGGGTCCAGTGGGTGATGTGGTTAAGGCGCTGGACTCCCATGTGGGTTGACTACTGCTTGAGTCCTGGACCCAGCAGCATGAAACTCAAGCCAGGTGCATGTACAGGTGTGCCCAAAATCCTGAGGATAGTGGAGAAGGGATTATAGCATAGCTATTCCACCTGGGGATGATTTCTCACTTTCCATCTGTTGGCTATCTGGTGGGTGCATGTGCTCTACCTATAACAAAAATTTCTCCCCCAAGAAAATATGTGGCTTTAAGGTTCTGTAATAGTTACTGTAGAATAGGTGACTTAACACGATACTGGGAATGAATTAAAGTTGAATTTAAAGCATTTTGAAATAATTTCCTATCTGCTTTTTCTTTTTTCAGTTGGACTAAATGATCTTCCTTGAATGGATTGTCCAAGATATAAACCCAGTGAAAGAAATCATGCTGGCTATTTGTATATAAAATAAAATAAAATAAAACCCTTCGATTTTATAAGCGTCTTAATGTGACTAGATTATTTGGTTATAGATCTCTCTTTTTAGGACTTATTTTTATTGTCTTCTCAAGGGATTTGTTATTAAATATGTGGCATACCTTTCCTCAATTATATAGCAATATTCATGCAGGACTCTGATTAATGTCAGTTTTGTTTTTATACTTGGGAAGCGTGTGTTTAATTTCATGAAATGCCTGCTAAAGGGGGCCAAATGGTGACAAAGTGCAAGACTTGAATCTCTACAAGGCAGACATGTAATCCACGGTGGCTGAGGCTGGGGATGGATCACGGCATCAACATCTTGTCCAATCCCTTGTTCTTTGTCCCTCTCACTTGTGGAAAAAAGCTTTAAAATGCCTATTTGCAGGGGTCAGCAGGTGGCATAGTGGTTAGGGCACTGAACTCCCACATGGTTAACTGGTTCAAATCCCAGACCTGGTGGCTTGCTTTCTCACTTTTCTCTGTCTCTTGTGAGTGCATGTGCTCTATAGCAAATAATTTAAAAGCCTGTTACATACAGGAGCATCCAGAATATAAGCTTTTTCAAATAGTCTTGTGAGTAGTTGACTTTTTACACTTGAGCTGGGACAATAAAAGTGAAAAGAGTTTCAGGACAGGGACCAGCAGTTAGTGTAATGGCTATGTCGCTGGGCTCCCACATAGTCGACCGTGGTTTGAGTTGCGTGTGCGTGAGTGCCCAAGATCCCGAGAAGAGAATGGAGAAGGGATTGCGGCGTGGCCATCTCCCCTCGGGGGTGATTTCTCACTGTCTGTCTCGTCTGTCTGGCAAGCGCACGCGCCCTATAGCAAAATCCTCAAAAAAAAAAAGTTTCAGGACAGAAGCTATCACTAAAATCTGTTCTGGGCTATCTTCTGTTTGGGACATTTCACAGATGAAAGCTTGTAAAATTTTAGTGTGTGGAAGGAAATAATTGGATAATATGTACGTCGGCAAATGTGTATTTGGTGAGTAAAGCAGTAATTTTGAAGTGTTTTGAAGGGCAAGAGGGGGTACCATTTTGTAGGATCACATGGTCTTGAAAGCCATTTGTTTTAGCAGGTGATATTGTTAAGGTGCTGGATTCCCATGTGACTGACCACTGTTAAAGTCAGACCTGGCCACTTGAAAATCACAAATAAGTAGACTAATCTTTAAGGGAAAAAAAGCCATTTGTTGGCTCATTAGAAATACAGGCTGTGGGGGGTCCAGTGGGTGATGTGGTTAAGGCGCTGGACTCCCATGTGGGTTGACTACTGCTTGAGTCCTGGACCCAGCAGCATGAAACTCAAGCCAGGTGCATGTACAGGTGTGCCCAAAATCCTGAGGATAGTGGAGAAGGGATTATAGCATAGCTATTCCACCTGGGGATGATTTCTCACTTTCCATCTGTTGGCTATCTGGTGGGTGCATGTGCTCTACCTATAACAAAAATTTCTCCCCCAAGAAAATATGTGGCTTTAAGGTTCTGTAATAGTTACTGTAGAATAGGTGACTTAACACGATACTGGGAATGAATTAAAGTAGGCTCTCCCTACACTTGATCTTAGCCAAAAGGCCGAGAAGCGATAAAGTAGGCTCTCCCTGAAAGTCGAGTCTTGTACTTGCCATGTTGTCATCATCTGGGGACCTGTTAAAAATGCTGAGTATTGGGCTCTACCCCACACCTGAGTCCATCTGTATTTTAGCAAGAGCCCCTACGTGATTGCATGTATTCATGTGTGAGAGCACTGCTCTAGCATTCATGTACCACGTAACAATTTGGTCAAGGGAGGAACACACCATGGTCTCATAAGGAGTATGTGGGTTGTACTATCTAGGTTTGTAGGTACACTAATATGTTTCCACATAAGGAAATTGTGTAATGGTGCATAGCACGGAATACGCCCCCTTTGCCATGTTTGAATTCCTGTGGTATTATGCACTGGAGATTCTGTAGTAAACAAAGTTGCTCTCACTTGAATCGATAAATCAGTGGAGCAGCAGTCTGTGAGAGTAGGCCTTTGAAGAAAAACTATGGGGTGTATGTGTGCTACCTGGTTGGAGGAGAAAATCATGTGCAGATTTGGGTTAAAAGCTTACTAGGCAGAAGTTACAGCATAGGTTCTGTAGGGCAGAGAATTCCCAGGTGCAGCCTTCTAGGGATAGCAGAGTTGACTAGAGTAGAGTAGGAATCAGGATCTATACTAGTCCTGTAGGCTGTGGTTTCATGTAAGCGAGCCAAGCTTCCATTTGGAGAGTAGGAGCAATGTGAACTGAGAAATACCACTCATTTTTAGGAGCAAAATAGACATTTTTTACTTGATGAGATTTTTGCTTTAGGATGCATGTGCTTGCCAGAGAGGCATAGAGACAGAAATCAAGAAATCACCTGGGGCGGGGAGACTAGCCACACTGCAGTCCCTTCTCCATTCTCTCGGGATTTTTGGCATGCATGTACACTTGCCTCGTGTGTTTTAACCCACTGGTTCCAGGACTCAAACCACAGTTGAGTGTGTGGGAATCCAGCAATGTAATCATTATATTGTCTGCTGGTCCTGCAAAGTAGATTTTACTGGGGCAAAGGTATGACTAGGAAATGAGACTGCTGCAATAGGTAAGCGGCCTTTGCATGGATGAGGATAAATGGGAATGGTTGAGGTAGTCAGTAATAGTGGCTTCTGACACAAGAGATGACAGGATTTGTTAAAGGGTTGGACATTGGAGACAGGAGTAAGGAACAGCTCCAACAGTCTGGGCCTAAGCATCTGGAAGGACAGAATTATTATTGAGATGGGTTGGGAAAACTAGTTTTGTGAAGATGAATGAGTTTATCTTATTAATACCACCTCCTTGGAAAAGCAAGGAGGTGGTATACTGGAAGCCAGTGGAGGAACCTGTTTGAAGCAGGGAATGATCAGCTGTAGAGGATTGATCACATATAGTTTTATCTGCCAGGGAGAAAGTGTGACCAAAGAGTTGGAGTAGAAAGAGGATCTTACTGGTTGCAGCTGAATTACCTGGTCAATATTTGAAAACAAATGGTTGAACACATTGTTAGTATGCCCCCTAGGACCTAAAAGGAGCTCATGAAAATTAAGGGCACTGAGCTTAAGTTCTGTGAGCTTCATAACAAATCTGCCTCTGTTTGCAATACTGAGTTTAGGAATGTGAAGGGACTGCAAAAAGTTTGTGGAAAGTGGAATTAAAACACGCCTTTATTTTGGTGCAAAGAAATTTCCTGAAATCTATGCATAGTTTTTTCATAATACACATTTTCAATGAATATTTTGAAGATCTTTTATGTGATAAACTGCATTTGCTGCTGGG